TTCGGCCAGAATTCTGTATTCTGACGTTGATGACGAGACATGATAGATGCGTCCCGCATCCATTACGGAAAGTTGGACCGCAGAGATCGCGGGACGGGACGCGACTCTTGATGCTGTGGCTGCTCCACGGGACCGTGTACCATGTGCACCATATGTATACCGAGGCTGCGAGGATGCTCTCCGCCTTGATGATCGTACAATACTCGCGGATAGAAAATTCTCGCATTACGGTCCCCCTTCCCCGGGATCTCTCCTCGTATGTCACAACAGAACGGTCTCCTCTTTGCCTTGATTCGCGTACGTCCGCACGAAATATCTGATAACCGTTACAACGCTGGGAATACCATTAGCTTCGATTAACCTTTTAGACACGGCGCGCCACTATAGTGGTTTCCGCGGATATCATCTTTTAGAACGACACGCCACTATAGTGGCTTTCGGGGATGTCATCTTTCGGAACGACACGCCACTGTAGTGGCTTTCGCGGATGTCATCTCTCTGGACGACGCGCCACTATAGTGGCTTGCTCTAGTAGCTCACTCGCTCATCGTTTGAACAAAATAATCGTCTTCATATCCATCGTTTCACACTTCCTTTGTCTTCGCATCGATTTACAACAGTCTACAGGGTGTCCCAAAAATGTCTCGCAATCCGGAAATGGCGGGTTCCTCGGATCATTTGAAGCAACTTCTTCCTTTATAAAAATTTTCTCCGAGGCACCGTTAACGAGTTATTAACGGAAAACAGTGACCAATAAGAATCGAGTACGGCTGACGCGAGGCGGCCCAAGCCAACTAGCGCGCGAAGCCCAGTTCCGCTCATTGGCTCGATCGCCTCGCGCCAGCTGAGCTCGCCTCTCATTGGTCACTGTTTTTCGTTAATAACTCGTTAACGGTGCCTCGGAGAACATTTTTGTAAAGGAAAAAGTTGCTTCAAACCGCCTGAGGAACTCGCCACTTTCGGATTGCGAGACATCTTTGGGACACCCTGTATATACAGTATCAGACTCTG